ATTTTTTCTATTGGACCAAAAAAGATCTGAATGAATTAAGTTGAGAGGTTTTTTTTTAGCTCTGCTGTTACTCTGCTTTGGAAAGCTTTTTCTTGTCATTTTTTACTTTTATACAGCTGATGCATTTCATTGTTTGATCACACGATCTAATTTTTGTTCCACATGCAAAGGTCATTCTCAGTTAATTTCTTTATTATGCCAGGACTTCTGTGCCCAAGTTGTTTGTGCCATGTGTGAATGCAGTTTGAATGTTTTTCCTCCTTGGCAGTATTAACCTCCCTGGCAGTATTCCCGAGTGTAGCTTGGGGTAAACTTTCAGTACCAGAAGCGGTAACCCCGAGCTACACTCGGGAATACCCTGCAACGCTTCTCCAGCGATCCCTGTTTCACACACCTTGTCCTGCGCTCCCGCAATGTCTCCCCTGCAGCGTCCCCGGCCATGTCCTCTGGCCAATGCCGGCATCCGTCTTCTGGGTTCCGTTCCCTGCGAGCATCGGGACGTACAGAACACACGGGGGACGGAACAGGTGGGAAATTCAAAAATGTCAAAGTTGTACATTCACTCAATATACTAAAATTTGTTAGTATTATATTACTGTATCAAACCATTTCACATACATTTTGTCCCGAGTGCTTTGTCCTGTGCCCTGACTGCATTTTTACTGTTTTTTTCTCCCTGGAAACTGAGAAATGTCCATGGCGTCGAAAAAAAGCGTCCCTTTAGGTCAAAAGCAGTTTTAGACCAGCTAGAGAACAGCGATAGTAAATTAGAACTACTTGTAGAATTGAGTGATAATGATTCGTGGGGAAATTCATCATCAGACACTGAAAACGATTCTATGACTGAGCTCAGCAATGTGCGAACTTGGCGCTATATTTCAAATTTCAGTGTTTTTGGTTTGATTATATTATTGAATTAAATATATTATTATTTTTTTATGATTATTTATTAAATTATAATTTATGATTTTGTGATTCAAATTTTATCATACCCGGGATGTTTAATAGACTCTTGTTCAGACAGATTTCAGTGAGTTATTCCTAAAAATTACAGGCCTACAATAAAAAAAAACTACATATTTCCATGCAAAAAAATGTACCGCTTTGAGCACAGAAATACTAACATAATCAGACCGCTAGGGAGGTTAACTACCTCTTTGCAGTTCAGCTGATAGAGTTCACCTGTAAATTTAGCTTTTGCAAGTAAGATATCCCCTGTCACCTTGGCAGGTGAGCTTCTTCACTTGCAAAAAATTAGTTTCAAGAGCAGGGGCGTACAGGACATTTTTCACAGGTATGTTTCTGGTGATACTCTGGGAAATAGGACAGTAAAGAAATCCATCTCCTGTTCCTTCTGATTCCATTATTTGCCTATTAGCTGTGGGGATTCTGTTTTGGCCAAGATGAATAAATACATTTCAGCCATTTGACATGTGAACTCAAAGCTCCTGAATCAATACACCATGCCTGCAAAGATGAGGTGCAACTTTTGGATTGAAAAACATATTCATTATCTGAAGAAAAATCAGTTTCTTTCTTCACGCTTTTGGGCTTCTGTAGTTTAGGTTTTTTTTTTTTTTTTTTGCACTCTAGTTTTCCAGATTCTGCAGTCTGCTTTTAAATGACCTTGTTTCTTGCACACAAAACATTCACATGTTTCTTGATGTATGCAGTGGCGTCCCGAGGCAGGTGCAGGGGGTGCGCATCGCACCGGGTGACACCTACCGCATGGGGTGACACCAGACCCGCTCCACGAAAAGGTAAGTTGTAAAGCAAGCCGATTATCCCTGCAGGATCGGTGGTGATCCCCGCGGCGATAGGTGGTGAGCTGTGTCCCTGGGACACAGTGGATCACCGATCAACGGAAAGAGCCGAAGATGGCAGCTCTGTCATGTGATCAGCTGTGTCCAATCACAGCTGATCGCATGTAAATAGGGAAATGCCGTTTATCGGCATTTCTCTCCTCATGAGCTGTCATACTGATAGAGGAGAGCCGGTAATCAGCATTACTTAGAGGGGACATCTACACTGATCATCAGGACACCAATGATCAATGTACCCCCAGCAGTGCCACCTGTCAGTGTCCATCCATGCCACCTGTCAGTGCCCATCAGTGCCACAACAATGCCACATATCAGTGCCTACCAGTGCACATCAAGAGCCACATATCAGTGCCCATCTGAGCTGCCTTTCAGTACCACCTATCAGTGCGTCAGTGCCACCTATCAGTGCCAGTCAATGCTTCCTATCAGTACCATATATGAGTGCTGCCTTTCAGTGCCCATCAGTGCTACATCAATGTCACATATCAGTGCCTACCAGTGCACATCAAGAGCCACATATCAGTGCCCAACTGAGCTGCCTTTCAATGCCAACTATCAGTGCCAGTCAGTGCCGCCTATCAGTGCCAGTCAGTGCCTCCTATCAGTGTGTCAGTGCCTCCTATCAGTGCCAGTCAATGCTTCCTATTAGTGCCACCTATCAGTGCAAAACATGAGTGCTGCCTTTCAGTGCCCATCAATGATGCCTGTCAGTGCCCATCAGTGCCACCTACCAGTGCCTCCTCATCAGTGCCCATCAGTTTCGCCTATCAGTGCCCATCAGTGCAGGCTATCAGTGCCTATCACTGCAGCCTCATTAGCGCACATCAGTGAAGGAGACAAATCACTTATTTACAAAATTTTATAACAGAAACTAAGAAAAAACTTTTTTCTTTCAAAATGTTCAGTTGTTTTTGGTTTAGCAAAAAATAAAAATCCCAGAGGTGATTAAATACCACCAAAAGAAAGCTCTATCTGTCTCAAAAAAATGATAAAAAATTTCATATGGGTACAATGTTGCATAACCGTGCAATTGTCATTCAAAGTGCGACAGCGCTGAAAGCTGAAAATTGGCCTGGGCAGAAAGGGGGTATAAGTGCCCGGTAGGCAAGCGGTTAAGATTTGTAATTATTATTACACTAACACCTGAAATGTACAGACGCATTACCATGTGCTGTAGTACAATAATACCAGTAAGACCAACAATGTGAAGTTATCACATCTGGCATCTGCCAAAACGCAGAAGTTATTTTAATGTAGGCACATCATGGCCAGCGCTTTGATTGATCATGCGTTTCCTTTCTATGTACATTTTCTTTTGTTCAATCTAAGGTCATTTTTATGGTCGAATGCTTGCATTGTTTCAAGGATGAAATGTCCCCGAGTACACATTATATCAAACAACGATAATTGTTATATAAAACTGAACATGTCAGATCATTAGTTGAGCGGTTCTATAAATCCTTGCATTGTGTAAGGTAATAATGGGAATAATTTGCTCGTGATAGGAATGGAGAAAGCTGCCACTGCTGACCTCCTTCTAGTTCCCTGTTTGGGAAGCTCAGGTACTTGCTTGACTACTTTCTGTGAGAGGTAGGCAGCTTCAGAAGTTGACTCCAGTGGCTGAATACTTGCATCATTTTAGTGACTCAAACTATGGAAGCCAGAGATGGGCAAGAAATTAGCAGATGGACGTCAACTATGGCAGTCTATATACACCGACCAGCCTCATCTTTGGGACCACTGACAGGTAAAGTGAATAACATTGACTATCTCATTATGATGGCATCTGCAAGTAGGTGGGATATATTAGGCTGTTAGTAAAAGATAGATTTAGAGGTTCAAATATAAATTACTGTATCACCCAATATATGGCTTCCATCCAGTAGCCAAAAAATATGCAGACCAAAGAAAAAATTTGTGAAAAGAGATTCACAAGAAAGCGGCTACATTATGGACAGAATGCGATACTCAGAAAAATTTCCAAAAATTATGCTTTATTACACATTAATAATTGACAATCGGGCAATCGCCCTGGTTTACCATCACCTCAGCATGAGACAATACACACAGACCTAAAACCATTCAAATCACACCAAGACCGGTCTGGATATATGTGCTGCAAAGGCTATGACCACCATGGTCTAAAGCATCTGCAGCACCTACACATTGGTTACACTCCCTGTAGGAGGTGTTTTCAAAAAATTATACCATGGGTATATAATATATCACATGCTATGTATATAGGCACATAAAGTTACCATATAGGTTACACTCCCTGAAGGAGGTGTTTACACTCCCCGAAGGAGGCGATTGCCCGATTGTCAATTATTAATGTGTAATAAAGCATAATTTTTGGAAATTTTTCTGAGTATTGCATTCTGTCCATAATGTAGCCGCTTTCTTGTGAATCTCTTTTCACATATCTCTTTTTTGGGATATATTAGGCTGCATGTGATCGTGTTGTTCCTAAAGTTGATGCGCTGAAAGCAGAATGGGCAAGTGAGTGACTTTGACAAGGGCAAAATTGTAATGGCTAGATAACTCAGGACATGGGCCAGGGCATCTCCAAAACTGCAACTCTTGTGAGATGTTCCCGGTCTGCAGTGGTCAGGACCGACCAAAAGTAGTCCAAAGAAGGAAAACTGGTGAACCTACGACTGGGTCATCGGTGGCCACGGCCCCATTGATGCATGTTGGGTGTGAATGCTGGCCTGTGTAGTCCAATTCCATTAAAGAGCTACGGTAGCTCAAATTGTTGAAAACGTTATTGCTGGTTCTAATAGAAGGGTATTAAAACAGTCTGTTGTGTATGGGGACCGTTCAGAGTGCCCATGCTGAACCGTATCCAAAAGTGCCTACAATTAGGGTTGACACCTCAACCCTTTAAAGCCGAACACATATTAACCACTGGCCTACAGGGCACTTTTATCCCCAGGCCAATTTTCAGCTTTCAGCGCTCTCACGTTTTGAATGACAATTGCACGGTCATGCAACACTGTACACATATGATATTTTTATAATTTGTTTCCACACAAGTAGAGCTTTCTTTTGGTGGTATTTAATCACCGTCGGGAGTTTTATTTTTTGTACTATAAACAAAACAAGAGCAAAAAATGTGAAAAAAAGTTTTTCTTTGTTTCTATTATAAAATTTTGCAAACAGGTAATTTTTCTCCTTCACTGATGTGCGTTGATGAGGCTGCACTGATACGCAGCACTGATGGGCACTGATAGGCTGCACTGATGAGGTGGCACCGATAAGGCAGCACTGGTAGGCATTGATGAGGAGGTACTGATATGCAGCAATGATGGGCACTGATAGGCGACACTGATGGGTGGCGCTGACTGGTGGCACCAACTGACAGCACTGAATGGTGCACTGAATGGTGGTACCGCTGGGTGCAACTGTTGGGCACTGATGGGTGCAACTGCTGGGCAGCACTGATGGGAGGCACTGATGGGCAGTGATGATCAGTGCCGATCTGCTCTGTGACAGTTGCCAGTTATCGGCAGTACTTTCCTCACACTGTGACAGCGTGAGGAAAGTGCTGCTGATAATCAGCAACTTGATTTACTCCGAGATCTGCTGTGTCATTGGACACAGCTGATCACATGGTAAAAGGCCACAGTGATTGGCCTTTTAACTCATCACGTGATCAGCTGTGTCCGTACAACACAGCGATCACGGAGATCGCTGGGTGCGCGCCGCTGGGGGCGTTAGGAAGGGCGCGTTATGAGAGGACGTCATATGATGCCCCCCCAAAACTGGACAACCGCGCTGAAGCCATCATTCGGCTATAGCGCAGGTTTGAAGTGGCTAATTACACAGGTTCTGGGGCTGATTTAATGCAGATAAGGCACCAAGTGAGTTTAGTTATCACCTTAATCAGCCACAGAACCTGTATAATATATTCGGTTTTAAAGAGATGAGGTGGCAACCCTACCTACAATGGGCATGTGAGCATCAGACCTGGACCACAGGAGCAATGGAAGAAGGTGGCCTGGTCTGATAAATTCAAGAATGGTTTGAGGTGGCAACCCTACCTACAATGGGCATGTGAGCATCAGACCTGGACCACAGGAGCAATGGAAGAAGGTGGCCTGGTCTGATGAATTCAAGAATGGTTTGAGGTGGCAACCCTACCTACAATGGGCATGTGAGCATCAGACCTGGACCACAGGAGCAATGGAAGAAGGTGGCCTGGTCTGATGAATTCAAGAATGGTTTGAGGTGGCAACCCTACCTACAATGGGCATGTGAGCATCAGACCTGGACCACAGGAGCAATGGAAGAAGGTGGCCTGGTCTGATGAATTCAAGAATGGTTTGAGGTGGCAACCCTACCTACAATGGGCATGTGAGCATCAGACCTGGACCACAGGAGCAATGGAAGAAGGTGGCCTGGTCTGATAAATTCAAGAATGGTTTGAGGTGGCAACCCTACCTACAATGGGCATGTGAGCATCAGACCTGGACCACAGGAGCAATGGAAGAAGGTGGCCTGGTCTGATAAATTCAAGAATGGTTTGAGGTGGCAACCCTACCTACAATGGGCATGTGAGCATCAGACCTGGACCACAGGAGCAATGGAAGAAGGTGGCCTGGTCTGATGAATTCAAGAATGGTTTGAGGTGGCAACCCTACCTACAATGGGCATGTGAGCATCAGACCTGGACCACAGGAGCAATGGAAGAAGGTGGCCTGGTCTGATGAATTCAAGAATGGTTTGAGGTGGCAACCCTACCTACAATGGGCATGTGAGCATCAGACCTGGACCACAGGAGCAATGGAAGAAGGTGGCCTGGTCTGATGAATTCAAGAATGGTTTGAGAAACACAACACCAAGTTTGAGGTGTTGACAAATTCTCCATATCTCAGTCTTCTTGATCTGTGGGAAAGTCCAATCCATGGAGGTCCCACCTTGTAACTTACAGGAGTTAAAGGATCCACTTCTGAGGGCTTGGTGCCAGATACAGTACCACAGCATACTTTCAGAGGTCCAGTGGGGTCCATACCTTGGCAGGTTATGGTGGGTTATGGCTGATCAGTGTATACCTCGTAGTACGGCATGCCTTTTTGGAACCACTCACAACATAGTGTCGCTTTGCGTTAACAAACCTGTGTTGTGCATTGATGTGTTGCATTAAGGCAGCTTATTCATTTTACAACCAAAAAAAGGATATAACCCATTTTTTTTGCAGTGGACCACCATTTACAGCAGTGCAGGTGTATTTATTGCATTATTTATTTATTTCAGGTACTTATATAGCGCCGTCAATTTATGCAGCACTTTACATATATATTATACATTCACATCAGTCCCTAACCCTCAAGGGGTGTACAATCTAAGGTCCCTAACTCACATTCATACATACACTTTCTAGGGCCAATTTAGACAGGAGCCAATTCACCTACCAGCATGTCTTTGGAGTGTGTGAGGAAATCGGAGTACCCTGAGGAAACCCACACAGGCACAAGGAGAACATGCAAACTCCAGGTAGGTGGTGCCGTGGCTGGGATTTGAACCAATGACCCGAGTACTGCCAGGCGGAAGTGCTAACCATTTAGCCACTGTGCTGCCCGGGAGTGTTCGTTGCTAGATTATTAAATCCTGTTAAACTGTTATCTTGGATGGCACTAAAATCAGGAATAGAATTTACAGAGTAACAGCCTTGCTTACTACAGAGAGCAACAAAAAATTAGTAGTAGCTGCTCTGACCCATCAGCCTAGTGGTATATAACGTTTCTGGGACTGCCTCTCTAATTTGGGACAACTGCAAGGAAGCTGTTGTCATCTGGTTTTTGCAGCCAGTTCACACCCTGCCTGGCCATAAAGAGCTGTTAGGCCACATTTACACTAGCTTTGTCAGCTGGTGTCAGACAGGCGTTTGGGAAGCGTTTTTAATGCTTCTCAAACACCTATGAAAATTCTGCATATGGCAGCACACAGTGCTGTTCACACTGAAGCCTTAGCGTCGCGTCAAAATTGACGCCTCGTGTGGAGTCAGGAGAGTTGAAGCCTCCCATTCAAGTCTATGGTGCGGTTGCAGAGCGTTAATACCGTTTAACTTCATTATAGGTGTATGTGGTGCGGTTTTAACGCTTGGCAAATGCCTATCAACCATCTCAAAACCACGCATGGGGCGTTTGGGGAGCGTTAAAAAACACTTCCCAAACGCCTGTCTAATGCCTGTCAAATGCTATTGGGGCATTTGGCAAGAGTTAGAAATAAAGTCCAATGTGAACGAGCCTTAATGCAGGCCATAGACGGGTCGTTTATCAGCCGAATTTTTTGTCCGCACGAAAAATCGGCCGATAATCACGCCGTTAGTAGGGCCAGCCCGTCGGCTGTTTTTCGCGGATCTCCTTATTTATTTTTATCAGTCATGGTGGAAAATCCACGAAAAACCTCCATTTTTTCATGGACATGGGTAGCAGCATCAACAACGGGGCCAACCGATTTTTTGTTTATTGGCTGAAAATTACGCCGATAAACGGCCCGTCTATGGCCTGCCTTAGGCTCCGTTCACAACTATGCAGTTTGCTTTTTTTTGTCTCTTTTGCAGTGCTTTTTGCAGTTTATTTTGCCTTTTTGCCACGATTTGTTCATTTTTTTTGTTTTTTAAACTTGAATTTGTTTTTCGCTGGGCAGAATAAAAATGCAAAACGTGGCAAAAACACACAACTCTGTATTTCAGCAGATTTTCCACTGAACTCTATTGTAGCAAAAAGGCTGCTTTTTATTTTTTAAAAAAGTCCCTGACCCTTTCCAGAAACGCAGCAGCTCAAAAAAAAAGCACAAATGTGAACATGTTCCATAGGAAACCATTAGAGATGAGCGAATCGAAGTAGCCGAAGTGGAATTCGAGTCGAATATCGGAAAAATTCGGGCACTGCCCGAGGGCCCGGGGTCAGTAGGGGGCCCCATGAGATGCCCCTGGTACCTTTTTCATAGGCTTTTTTTGAGTTTGGGCAAGGACACAGGGGCCCATGATCCCCTATTGCCCGGGGGCCCCATGAGTTGTCAGTCCGCCCCTGGAAGCAACGTCCCACGTGGTTGATATCACGGACTGGTGATAGCAGTTTCAGATGCTGCGCCACTCGACATGCCTCCAGATTGGCGGGAACACTGCATACTATGCAATCCACAATACGAGGTCTGATCACTATCCTGATGGGGACTGTGCTGGCTATTCATCATTTATCTACTACCTGGCAATAGAGTCACAGCGTTTTTAGAGTCTTACTACCTGGAACTATTCTGACTTTCGGTTATAGTGTGATTGGTCACTCCAGAGAACACGTTTCCACTGCTCTAGAGTCCAGTGGCGACGTGCTTTACACCACTACATCCGACGCTTTGCATTACACTTGGTGATGTAAGGCTTGGATGCAGCTGCTCAGCCATTAATTATCTTTCATTGTTTTTAAATGTGTTCAGTGATTGTATGTAGAGATGAGCGAATCGAAGTAGCCGAAGTGGAATTCGAGTAGAATATCGGAATATCGGAAAAATTTCGATTCGCGCCGAATCCGAAAAATAGCCTACTTCGGACGCGCGAATCGAAATTTTTCCGAAAATGGCGGCGGACATGTGCGGGCGACGGAGCGGGGATGTCTGGGAAGGCGCGCAGACAAGGCGCGCTGACCCTAATGCATTCCTCAACGACATGTGATCGCATCAGCCAATCAGCAGCCAGCCAGCCAGCACTGTGTAATGGTCGAGCTATAAATAGCGGCCATTTTGGAATTCTTCATTTGCCTGCAGTCATTGAACAGAGGCAGACCGCTCTGTATTAGGGACAGAGTTAGGGCCACAGAAACGATACTTGGGGACAGAGAAACGTTACTTAGGGACAGAGAACCATTACTCAGGGACACAGAATTGTTAATGAGGGCCACAGAATCGTTACTTAGGGACAAAGAAACGCTAGTTAGGGCCACAGAATTCTTACTCAGGGACAGACAGAATTGTTACTGAGTGCCAGAGAATTGTTACTTAGGCCACAGAAACTTTAGTTAGGGCCACAGAATTGTTACTCAGGGACAGACACAGAATTCTTACTGAGGGCCACAGAACTGTTACTTAGGGCCACAGAATTGTTACTCGCACAGACACAGAATTGTTACACAGGGACACAGAATTGTTACTGAGGGCCACAGAACCCGTTACTTAGGGCCACAGAATTGTTACTGAGGGCCACAGAACTGTTACTTAGGGCCACAGAATTGTTACTCGCACAGACACAGAATTGTTACTCAGGGACACAGAATTGTTACTTAGGGCCACAGAACTGTTACTTAGGGCCACAGAACTGTTACTTAGGGCCACAGAATTTGTTACTCGCACAGACACAGAATTGTTACTCGCACAGACACAGAATTGTTACTGAGGGCCACAGAACTGTTACTTAGGGCCACAGAATTGTTACTCGCACAGACACAGAATTGTTACTCGCACAGACACAGAATTGTTACTGAGGGCCACAGACTGTTACTTAGGGCCACAGAATTGTTACTCGCACAGAATTGTTACTCAGGGACACAGAATTGTTACTCAGGGACAGACAGAATTGTTACTGAGTGCCAGAGAATTGTT